AGGGAGGGGCTAATAATCGGCTCAGTCATTTTTAATGATCGTTGAAAGCCCAGATCGTAATTATGATTAAAATTCGATTAATTGAGCAGCCCTAGGTGGAGGGGTGGAGATTTGGGCTTGTTCTGCAGCCACAAAACCTGAGCACCTTGCAGTTACTGAATCTACCCTGAACTCCTCTTTAGGGCTGCCACAAACGATTATTTTGATAGTCGACTAATCACCAATTACTTTTGCGATTTGTCGACTAATCAGAGCACGCATCCATTGGACGTAAAACGTACAGCTTATTGCACCAGCATGCATCTGCCCTTATATAACTATCATTAGCTTACAGCTTTAGGTGTTTAAGGTATGTGCTAACTAAAAATAAAGACAAGATGATAGTTTATTAAATTTTAATCAAATTTGCAGATTGTTTCGGTGGAGTTTAATAAACTCAGCCGTCTGCTCCTTGCTATCTAAAATATAACAGGACTCCAGAGTATATTCTCGAGCATCTCACACTAGAGCAGGGCGATATGGTCAAAAATATTTATCACAATATATATTTGAAAATTTGCGATAACGATATAACTGACGATATAATTGATGCGAGACAAAATACAACTCCACAACTTTACTAGCGCAAAAAAACCCATCCATTTATTTTCACTTAAACAAGAAGGTGTTTTTTTATGTGCATTAAAGCTATATAAAAATTTAACAGTGCAAATGCAAATTCCTTGCTGAAAGTTTAACCAAAAGGCATTTCCAGTAGAAATGGGCTGACATATCCTGACCATAACCATGTATAATATCCACTGAAGTTAAAAAGAGGTGCTTTGCAACATTAAACTGCAGTGTGCCAAATAAAAAAAGTCAAATACGTATTTTTCGGACCATAAGGTGCATGGGATTATAAGACACATTACGCGAAACAAAGCAGTCAGATAAATCAAACTATTCAACTCATTCTTCTTGCTTCCTCCACTTCTGTACCATTGATTCATTAATGCTGTACAGCTGCTCTAGTCCCATGTTGTTGCAGTATATTAATGACTAACATTCTATTGTGGATGGATTATCTCAGTTGTTCTCCTGACTGAAGTTTGGTCCGTTTACAGCATCCTGCCATGCGATTGCATTTGTCTCTAACCATCAGGAACCTTCACATTAACTTTTATTGAGTGGAAAAGTGTTAGCGTTTATCTTCCAGCTTCACTCTTTATGTTATGCTAACATAGCTGTGTTGCTAGCGATCACGTAGGACAGCGGTCCCCAACCTTTTTTGTGCCACGGACCGGTTTATGCCCGACAATATTTTCACGGACCGGCCTTTAAGGTGTCGCGGATAAATGCAACAAAATAAAACTAGTACCGGTACATACATTTCACACCTGAGCCTCAACTCTCGCGGCCCGGTACCAAACGACTCACGGACCGGTACCGGTCCAAGGCCCGGGGTTTGGGGACCACTGACGTAGGACATCATTATATACCACCTAGCCTGACTTCAGTAACCCTACAAACGTCACTGCTGTTTAGTTTCCTGTCTTCATTTATGTTGGAAGTGATAGCAGAGCTGTACGTTTGAATTTTTTTTAAAAATCTCTCAGTCAGAACATGCTATAACATGCTTAGCTCGCTAGTTTAGCTAGTTACCTAACTTCTGCTAACTTCTTGCTAACTTTTAACTCTGTTAAATGTAATACATTCTGTTTTCATGGATGCCTGGATGTTAAACTTAATAGTTACACCTGGTAAAGCAGCAATGTTGATCGTTTTATTAAAGATGAAAGAATTTAGACAGTTTTTAACTCTCAGTGATGCTGCAGTGTTTGTTTGACTTTGGGACCTGAAGTGGACGGAGTTTAGGACCCAGATTACTCCCAGATTTACGAGCACCTTAGTCCGACAAATACAGCAATAACGACGCCTGCGTGCATGTTCTACAAAAAAAAAAAAAAAAAAGTGCTTTGGTGGGTATCTGACAGACAAACACCAAACCAGTTCCACATCACTGAAGTGGCACCATTTTTACAAACCAATTCTGGTTCATCCGTTTCACTCAACGATTGCGATATTTCATTTTCTTATCGTTGCCTAACACTGTACCGGTATTACCGTGAACGGTATAATATGGCCCAGCCCTATCTCACACTTTTGATAATCAGTTGTCTGTTTAACGTTTATTCAGCTGTGTAAAAACTATAACTTTAACCGATTTACTCAGGAACAAATAATATACTGAAAAAAGCCAAACAATAACATTTTTATCTAAGTGACTTATATATCATGTTTAACCCGAGTAGCGAAAGACGGCGGTGGGTTTGAAAACGATTTGTTGGCAGCCCGGTATTCTCACTGGCTCTAAGTGAGCCTTGAACCCCGGCTAGCTATCGAGCTGGTGGGTAACAGACATCTCCGAAAAGGTTGGGCCACAAAGTATACACCCGACGCATCCTTCAAATCTGGGGAAATGAAGGGCGCATTTGTCGGCCGCATTTGTCAGAGTCTTTGAATTTGGACAGTCTTCGTCGTGTCGCTGTAACGTAATTGGCCTACAAATGCGGGCACAGGAGGATGCGGTTCCTGAATTTGGACACAGCTACGATACCGGACACTGCTTCTTCTTCTTCGGGGTTTAACGGCAGCTGGCATCCTTGTACATGCAGTGTATCTTCTGTTTCAGTCCGTTATTACACTCTTAAATCCTGCTACTTATTCCTGCGTCTTTTGGGATCTTACAAAGCTTCAAACGACGCGTCGACTATTAAATTAGTCGTCGAAGATTTTGATAGTCGACGTAATCGTGACTAGTTGACTAATCGTGGCAGTCCTACTCCTCTTTATACCAAAGTGTTCTAGAGTCAAATGTGCAGCCATTTGTCAGACAGCTAAAGTTTGGCCCAAACTGCATGATATAACACAACAATCACCCAACAGAAAGACTGAAAAAGAAAAGAATGTGCTGACCCATCAAAGCCCCCCAAAAATCAACCTGATTGAAATAAGAAGTGAGACTACTAGAGCTGTACTTAAAGAAATGTATGCAAATCACAATAAAGTGAAGCACTGTTGTGACAAAAAGTACAAAAATATTCCTCCACATCAATGTGAGAGACTATTAGTGTCATAGAGAAAATTATTACTGCTAAAGATGGTTTTACAAGCTATCAAATCAAGGGTTGTAATTTTTTGCACTTAGAGCATTATCTGTGTTATGTTTTCTGGCTATGTTTTCTCCTGGAATAGAAAGATGAGCATGGAGGCAAGCTGTTGTCCATGTGGCTATCTGTTCAAATGTAATGAACCTTAATGGAGGTAAAATGAAACAACTGTTGAGATGGCCTTGGGCAAGGCACTGCCTCAGATGGGCTTTGTGTCAATCTTCTAACTTGCATGGGCATGCCTTTAATAAAAAATAAACACACCAATGCTTAAAATAGGAGTTCATGGTTCAGTTTAGCCATTTATTTGGCTAAAGTACAACCCATAGTTACTAAATAATGTAATATAGTTTATGGAGGCCACCACATATTTCAAATACAACAAGGGTTTCAACAGAGAAAAACATGGCTGTGCCATGGGCTCCCTGGCTCCTATTGTAGCCAACCTTTACATGGAGGAAGTGGAAAGAAAGACTCTTGGCTCTTTTAAAGGGAAAGTACCCAGCCACTGGTACAGATATGTAGACGACACCTGGGTCAAAATCAAAACACAAGAAGTGGAATCCTTCACTGCTCACATTAACGCCATGGATAAAAATACCAAGTTCACCAGGGAAGACACAAAGGATAACCATTTGCCTTTACTGGACTGTGCCATGCGCATTGAAGAGAATGGAAACCTCAACATTGAAGTTTACCAGAAGCCCACACACATGGACCAGTACCTCCTCTTTGACTCCCACCACCCTCTGGAACACAAACTTGGAGTAATGATGACCCTACATTACCGGGCAGATAATGTTCCCTCTAAGCCTGGAGGGATAAAGAAGGAACACACACATGTAAAGGAAGCTCTCAAAACATGCAGTTATCCTAATTGGGCTTTCATCAAGTCAGCAAAGATGCACAGGAAAGAAGATCAGACACCAGCAAGGGAGGATAAGAAAGACAGACGCAATAACATTGTCATCCCCTATGAAGCTGGTGTATTGGGAAAAACTCAGGGGAGTCTTCTCCAAGCACAACACCTCAGTTTATTTCAGACCCAGCAACACACTTAGACAGAAACTGGTTCATCCCAAAAACAAAACTCCTAAACACAAACTTAATAATGTAGTGTATGCTGTAAAGTGTAGCGAGGAATGCCCAGGTCGCGACATTGGAGAGACCAAACAGCCACTTCATAAACGCATGGCACAGAAGAGCCACCTCCATGGGATAAGACTTGGCGGTCCATCTGCATCTAAAGGACAAAAGTCACTCTTTCGAGGATGCAAATGTTCACATTTTGGACAGAGAAAACAGATGTTTTGAAAGAGGAGTAAAAGAAGCCATTTATGTCCACTGTGAGCGACCATCTTTGATCAGAGGCGGTGGTTTACGACATCAACTGTCTGCCATCTATAATCCAGTTTTGAGATACCTTCCCAGACGCCTTAATGCCCACTCACATCCTGGGCCATCTGACCTCAGGAAATCACATGATAGGATGGGGCCAGGTTTCACAATGAGCTCACCCGAAACCTTGGCTGATTGTGACCTACACCCGTTTTCACACCTTGGCTCATGTGATTAAGTAGAGGATTATTAGGGGGTCCATTGTCCCTCGTTGGGGGATACTCCCACATGGCTTAAATCTGGGACTCCACCATTTGACCCTAGAACTGAAGAAGCTTCTCTGATGAGAGGTGAAACATCTTCAAGCAAATTAAAGAAGTCTAGACACGTTTCTTTCCAAGCTCCTTAGACCATGTCAACAATATACACAAAACGTTGATACGGTTCACATATTGTTTATTTACAGCATATATGATATCATATATATGCTGTATATATTATAATTTCTATATAGCATCCTGGGCTAACAAAAACCAATATTACGTAAATTTCTCACAGTCCAATATAGCAACCTGTTTTGTTTAGTTAGAAATGGTAAGAAAGACCAATTTCTGTCAAATACGCAGACAAACAGACCATAATTCCATAGATGCTTGGTGTTTTCGACTGAAGGTCCATTTTGTGGTAGAAATAAAGTGTGTATTGCAACGCAGCTGCCTTTATCAAACTATGGCATGTCAAAAAGCTTCATGTAAATTTAAACCTGTAGCAGTTTATCTATGGAGGAAAGCTTGGGGCTAAAGTTACGTGTGTGATAACAGCGCCTCCTACTGCCAAAATGTAAAAGTGCATCACTTTAAGTAGCAGGGCCATAATTATGAGGTTTCACAACAATTACTACATTGACATTGCTGTGAAGCACGGTAAAGCTCGCTGCCAGCTGCGTTTCAGTTACCGGAAGTTAACTAGTCCTCACAGAAAAGGAGGAAATTATATGTGGAGTGCGCCTTGAATTAAAGTCGTGTCACATTCTGCTTTAACCAACAGTTAGCTAGCAATGCTAAATCTACGTTTAAATGAAACCTAAACATGTCCAGACTTTTGTCTTCGTCATATTCATCTTACTTTGAGAAGCCTCCTGGTATGTTTTCTGTATGTCTCGGAAAAGTTGTTCGGCCACTGCAGGTAAAAACGAGCGCATTTTCGCACCACTTGTTACAGGATGTCTTTGACTGCTCCAGCCAATAAGGTTCCACGAAAATATTACAACTTCCCGTGTTACCCTGCTGTGGTTTTGCTTTCCTCCAAAATAAACTCCTACGTAGATCACATTTTTCTGTTTCGAGGAGATTATTTGGAAGAAAAGGCTGCTTTTGAGTTCGTTATATGAATATCTGCGATGTCACACAGGCATTTTCTTTCTTTTTTTTAAATAGATATTTTAAAAACTTGACGTATTAAAGGAAAATAAGTTCAACGCGTCCGCGTACATGAAACCCCTTTCCACTTCCTTTCTTCGTATGGGTTAAAACGCTCAAGTCATTTAGATATTCAATAAGAAAGCAGTGTGCTATTGGCAGACGATATAAGATCGGCAAAGCTTTTTTCGATAGAAGACATTTAGCTCTGGTATAAGCAGTAAGTAGTCAAACAGACCCATTTCACACCAGACACAGTGAAACGCGCACACAGATTTATTGTGCCTACCCTAGTGTTTAACATGCTCTGTCACAATGGGTTGCCAAAAATCTGTAAACAAATCTCATTAGACAACCTACACTTTTTCTGGTACGACAGGTCAAATAATCAGTGTGTGAATCACGCATGAATAAAAAGAAGACCTACTGCAAGAATGACCTGTTCTACACTTCCACTGTGGCATCTCAGCTGAAGGTTTCAAACACACTGGGTCTATGACTGTCACCACAGGGACCTCCTTTAAGGCCATCAACTTTACTGAGTGCAATAATACACAGAATCAGTCAGCCAATACATAACCTTTTCTACAGTCCATGTTAAGATGTGTAGATTAAAAGGTCAAACTGACAGGAGCTGATAAGAGAATGCTGCAGAATTATTAGGCAGCAGTAATTGAACAACATTCTTTTAACTGCACTACCAAAGTCTCAGGTGTGTTGGCGTCCGCTTTAATTACACATTTCATTTTTCAATTTGTAGGAATCCAATTAACATTTTTGCCTCCTCATCTTCAATTTAAGTCTGGGAATCCTTAATAGCTGATATATTTGTTGCATTTGCCCAACTTTTACCTACAAGGGATCACTGGCATTAATTTCCATTTCATACTGGATTACCTGACAAATAAATCATTGCAGAGAGAAGGGGGAAAAAAACAACCAAACAAACAAAAAACTGCACACGTCTCAAGGATCGGCACATTTTTCAGTGGTGAACTGATCCACTTTATTTGATTGGTCTGAACTCTTGTAATAGCCTACTGAGAGACATTGTGCGATACAAACATTGCATTTCAACATCATAGGTTACACGGGTTTTCAAGTCTCAATTCCAAAAAAAACAAAAAAAACAAACAAAGAGCAAAAAAAACCCCAAAAACACCACTGTGTGTTTGATAGAGAGCTGAAAAGATGCTCCAATATTTTTTCGGCTTCATGTCGGATTTCTTTAAGATTCAAGTTTGTAAACTTTTTTTTTTCTTTTTGTCATTGCATTTGTAAACACATAACACCCCATCTAAACGGGATGAATTAGCAAAGGTGTTGAAGAAAAAAAAAAGACAGAAAATAAAAATCTGAACATGTGCTACGACAATTTCAAATCAAAAAAAATGAAAGAAAAAGCAACAACAAAGGAAATATCAAGTTTAGAGCAGAATGGATTTGTTAACTGAGCAGAGTGAAAGCTGAAAAAGCCAAAATATTTTTTTCCCACATATCTAAAACAAAGTTTACTGCTGTGTATTATAGTTGACCTAGTATAATTCATATTCAAAGCTTTATGCCTGTTGTGTGACACAATGAAAGCAGAGATTAAGTGGTCATGGATTTGAATCTTCATGACATCAAATGCCTAAACATGTAATGGTACCATACAGTTCAAACTGCAAATGTGATGCAAGTGTGACACTAAACAAAAAGATTCCTGTACCAGCTACAAGGAAGAAAAAAAATCAGGGCAAATTTCTGTGAGTAGTAGGAAAAGTTAAAGCACATTTTAGTATACTCCAAGGCTGGAGGATGAATAAGTTACACAGCAGGTAGTATGCTTTTTGTTGTCAAAAGCTACAAAGCAAAAAGAAAAAAGAAAAAGAAAAGGAAAAAGAAAAAGTGCAACAATGGTGCAGACCATTTTTTAAGTTTGGTTAGTTTTGTCTTTGTGTGTAATAGAAAGACAATTTACAGAGTTCAGATTTTTGTCAGGACAGTATAATTAAAAAAAAGAGGGATTACAGAAACAAATACAAACATTAAACACAAACGTATATCTCTGAGAAAATTAGTTAAAGCTGCCTTCTTTCTCAAGTCACAAGGCATGGCAAAAGCATTAAAAAAAAAAACTTCCTGACATTTTTTTTTCTTTTTAAACCATGATGACATTGCAGAACAAATCATTCTGGACAGTTTGGAAACTGCAAAGAGACAGCTACATGTGACACATCACATAGCTCTTTTGAAGAAGAAGGAAAAAAACAAACAAAAAAAAAACATATTGGCTCACTTTCATTATTCAGTCGGGGTCCAGGAGTAGTCATAATGATATAATTTCTGGCAAAATTAAGCTTATATCAGACTTTTCACCTCTCTGCTATGACACCAGTGTTCTCAACTTGTTTTGAAGACATTTCTCTGTCTAGGGTGAGCGGTTATCACTACCATCCAATGCTTACAATCCATGCATCATCTCCGCTGTGTGATAAAGACAGTTATCAGATACCAATGCTGTTTGAAATGTTAGTCTGTTCTCCTCTAATGTCCGCAACGTTCAGGCTCTGGTGGTGCTTGGTGGATGGCGCGCAGGGTGGCACAGTCTCTGTGCTCTGCTCACGGTCAAGTACAAACCACAGGTCCGGTCTCTGTCTCTCTCTCTTACCGTTGCAATGGTAAAAGTATTTGTTTGTGTGTGTGCTGGGTGACAGGGTTTGGAGGGGTGGGAGATGTTGGACTACACAAGACCAACTGTGTTATTAAAGAACGCACCCACACTCTTTCCATTTAAAGTGGATCAATTTAAAAGCGACATTAAAATAAGAAATAATCAAGTTAAGAAAAACACTGCAAAAGGTTACTCTATTTACATACAATGATCTTCTTAAAGACAAGGTATATCTTTACAGAAATCAAACAAAATTCAGAAATAGTTTCTTCTGTTGTCTTTTTTTTTTACATATTAAGTTCTTTATCTTTCCTGCATCTCATGTCATCACCTCAAGCTGAGTTTTGTTTGTTTTTTCCCCCACCACAACAGGCTGGACGAGTGCTTCTGGACCAAAAGCAAGCGACGTCCAGGAGAACCCTTCCTGTCACAGGCTGCTGCTCGTACTCTCAGCCAACAGCCAGGGGGCGCCATAGCACCAAAAATAAAAAGGACAACACCCCATCTACATGTTGCACTCCCCAGTGAGCGAGGTTAGTTCCAGGAGAGGGGCGTGAACAGACAAGCCAAAGAGCAGGCCTCTCTTCTGGTTAATAAAGCTGTAAGCAAGCGGGGCTCAGTCGTCACTATCAGACAGGGTCTCGTATTGCTCCGACAGCAAAGACTGCCACTCTCGCCGCTGGCCAGGGGCTCCAGCTGGATTCTGCTGCAGCTGCTGCTGCTGGCTCTGTATGGAGGGTGACGCTATGGAAGTGGGTGGTGTGTTGCTCAGTATGCGCATAGTCAGCGGGTTGTATGGGAACTGGATGGGTCCTGTGGAAAAAGGAAAACAACACGAGTGGGCAAAATGTAGATGAAATGATGCCAGGGCCATATTCCAGGAAGCAGGTTCAACAAACTCAGAGTCAAACCATAAACCCTGAGCTGATGTCCGAGTTTCTGATTCAGGAAAGGCTGACCAGAGCTGGCATTTTACATTTAACACTTTAGTTACATAAACTTTACACGTAATTTTGGTAGGAGGAAACATTTTAAATAAGAAATACAGATCATGTCAGGACAAAATAAACCACTAAGAATTTATCAATTTTAAATCCGGCCATGCTAGTTAACTGAAACCCAAACATGGTCTACTGAGCTGTTTTGATCCGTTATGGAATTTATGACATGGATCCAGTTCCGGGAGACCTGATTAAGGTGATTTTCAGATTAAGGTGAGTTTAAGTTTGGATTTCACACAGTGTACTTCAAAATGTTGTTTCACATCATGTAATGTGTCTGTGAACAAATTTCAACATGAAATGTAGTCAGAACACAATTAGAGTGAATGCAACTGCATTTAAAAAGTCACTTTAAAATACATTTAATGTTTCAGAAAAA